AGTTCCCTTGTGACACCCAAACGTCGCCCATCAGTTTCACTCCATACGTCAGCGGCTAAAAATTCCTCACTCAACTGCCGATGTCAGCGCAACAGATTAATACCTTAATCCTGGAAGCACTCAGCGCTCCTGCCAACTGTCTACCGATGCACTTCAGCACCGCCTGCACAGCCTAGACGCGGGTGCCTTCGGAAATGTGGGCTAAAAAGATTGAAGGAATTATCCGGAAATCGCTTCATCGAAATGGACTTGCGGGTAATTTACAAGCCATATGCATATATTCTTGCAGGCATACACACCATCTTGGAAATATATTTTGCTCACCTAGCTTCTTATTTTTGACCTCCTAACACCTGGCCTCCTACCTCTCACCTTCTCATTTTCCTCTGCTCACCTATTTTCTTTTTAAGACCTCGGACTCGCGGAGTGAGGCGAGTGTGTTCCATGGATGACACCATCTATCACGCCAGACTGGTCCGTTGATCCGGCACCGTGTATATCCGCGGTCAGAGCCCTTTTGGTAAGAACTGCGACGCCTCGTGGCGTACTTACCCCCACCCGCGCACACGTGTTGATTTGTGGGCCCATTTGACGGCCGGTTAGCGGACCTGTCGGGCGGCGAATTTAGAGCCGGCTGTCACTCAGACGCCTGGGCGAAGAGAGACTGCTTAGAGTCGGCACGCCTCTGAAGTGACGAACGGGCTTACAAACTGAGTCAGACAGTTTCTGAGAGGCATTCTGACGTCAGTTGGGGGGGGGGGGGGCGATCAAAGAACTGCTCTTGACACTGAGCGATCTGATCTAAGAAAAATAAAAATTGTCATGGTGCCAAGAGTTTCAGCGATATTGTCTAAATGAAAAGTCGTCACAATAATGTTTTCACCTTGTTGTCGGGTCGGGAGGACAAATACCTACATATTTAGAAAGCTGTGCTCGAAAGACGACAAAACTAGAAGCCATCCAAGATTATCTCAGTCTAGCGTTGATGAACAACGATGACCTATTGCTTCTGTCGCCGAGGGCTTACCCAGCAGTCAACATGGCTGCAACACCGCCACCGATGGTAAGCACATTACTTTCCAAAGGCAGCCGAAAGAAAATGCAGGCCTCAAACACTACCACAACACCATCTTATTGCCATCAGCGAGCCTGCTCGGTCACTGAGCCCCGGAGGTGAACACGACCGCAGAACCTTGCTACCACTTCATCCAGCCGTCTGGTATCATCCGGACTAACCTCAAATGGTGGCCGCAGCTGTCTCGGCTTTCATCCATCCTATCCTAACCCTCGCACGACCAGGCCATTTCTCATAACACGAACGACCAGGGGGGGGGGGGGGGTTGTTACGACCCCCCCTGGCGTTTCGAAACGGAAGGTCGTAGAGCTTAGCGGAAAAAAACAACGGATTGCTCTCAACGAGATCTCGCGATTGGTGGCATATTTTTTGGTCCTAGGTCAACATTTGACCTACTTATGACCGGTCAAAGGTCAAATTTTCGGAAAAATCTAACTTTTTCAGATTTCCGCGCCGATTGCGGCAAAACGGTAAGAGATATCGACTTGAAACCTTCACTATCGTGATCCTTGATCAATTCTCTATCGTTTGGTGCGTATTTCGATGTCATAACTCTAAAAATGATGCGTTGGGAGCATCGGAAGTCTGCAAGGTCATTTGTGCATTGGGTCACGTCAGGCGTGTGACGTCACTGACCTGACCCTGACCCAAAATGAACTACAAGAAACAACCGACGATGCCTGAAATGGATAGCAAATTCGAATTCAGGGCATCAAAATACCCCGAAAAGGCATACAAGTGCAAGAAGTCATTACAGGTCAACCGAGGTCACTGACCTGACCTTGACCTTTAGTAACCTTGAAAAGGTCAACGGACATTGTGCCAATGTCAAATCAGCCAGTTATGGTTCTAAAACAATCCATCAGTGTGTCAGGTCAGTCGGCATTTATACCAATGTGAAGCAATCTCCAATTTAGCGTAAATCTGGCCGGAGGTTGTTCCCTTTATGACGTCATAACTCCGTGACCTGACATGACCCGATCAATTTTTTTTCGGCAAAAGATGCGCAAAGGTTGCCCCAGAGGGTATTGAAAATTTCAGCCCGCTACGACAAGCCGTTTAGCGTGCACTTCGAAAAAACCTCAGGGGGGGGGGTTGATACAACCCCCCCCCCTAGGCGTTCTAGGGCTAAAGGTTAGACGGTACCCCGCTGTCAATATCCCGTGACCGTCACCGTCTCCTCTTTGTTTCTGACTCTGTCTCTGTCTCTGCATCAGTCTCCTCCGTCTCCGTCTCCGTCTCCGTCTCTGTCTCCGTGTCCGTGTCCGTGTCTGTGTCTGTGTCCGTGTCCGTGTCCGTCTCCGTCTCCGTCTCCGTCTCCGTCTCCGTCTCCGTCTCTGCCTCCGTCTCCGTCTCCGTCTCCGTCTCCGTCTCCGTCTCCGTCATCACCGTGCACGCACCAACTGCTATAACTAAGGCAGCTTTTTACCGTTGCACGATCTGATTGCTAATTGATCACGATGTTAGGGGTGGCATAATGAAGGCAGCCTGTGAGCGTGAGACAGGCCGCTCTCCAAACAGGGGCGGACGGCGTGGCCGGTCCGCCGGGCGGCTCAGTGAGCCGGGGCTGCCCTGAGGGACGGCTCAATGAGTTGAGCCGGCTCAGAGCCGTGTGTGGGACGATGAATGGGACTGGGCGAAGCGCTAGGAGCGTGCGGTGGGCGCGGCGGGACGGAACTGGGGACTGTGAGGGGTCGACAGAGAAACAGAGCACTGAATGTGACTGTGCCGCGGGCCGAGGACGGTAAACAGTGCAGTGGGCACTGCTAGGTAGGGGAGAGTGGGGCAAAGCGGCCACCCTAACGTTTGTAACGATGCCGACGCTTGAATTTTAAACTTGGAAAGATTCTTTCTATACCAATGTGATCCCTATTAAATTGTCTTTTATTCCAACTGCGTTTCATTTCCAAAGGCGTTCACATATGGGAGATATTGACAAAACTTTAAACCTATAGCATATTGGCCACTTTGCCCCATCCCTGAGGCAAAGCGGCCACTGGCGACTTCTCAAGTCCCGATATGAGAAACAGAATAGTTGCCTCATGCACGACTAGGGTATTTGATGGTGACAAGGTTTAAGGGAAGATGGATGTTTACTTTGTTATCTTCCCACCTATTGCTAAACAAAGAAAGAATTTTCTTGGAAAAACATTTAATTGCATAATTTGGTAACTCATGTAACCGAAAAGTGGCCAAGATGAATGCATGACGACACATTTGAATATAAATAATGTTTTTATCCAGATGGAAACAACTTATGGCCAATTGGGGGCTGGCCACTTTGCCCCGGCCGCTTTGCCCCGCGCATACCGTCCGAGACAAAAATATTCCAGCTCAGCTATTAGTGGGGTAAAAAGCATTAAAATTGGTAGAAGGCATGTACGATAACCACGCAATGCATGGACAAAAACGCTTATAAAAATTCCAAACGGTTATAGAATAAAATAACATTTAAAAATTGTAAACATAATTGGTAACCTGGCAAGAAATGCTTTTCCGTGTTTCACAGAACAATGGCGATGGGCCTGAAACCCCGGTCTGGCTCATTCGAACGACCGCAAAGAGAAGTATAATTGGAAATCATAAATTGGAACTGACGCCAGCTGTGGAGGGCTAAAACGATGGATGGCCGCTTTGCCCCGGGTGGCCGCTTTGCCCCACTCTCCCCTACAGTACAATACGTCACCTTTGATCAATAGCCATAAGCTTGCAAAAATGACTTCATATTTGAAATATACAAGCAATAACCTTCTTAGATGAATGAAACGCGACTTGCGAAATGTGATGCGGCTTAGAAAGGACATACGCTAAGCGTTGTTTACCGCATTTGCGGTAAGAGCTGACGTAAGTATTCTCTGCTTATTATCCATACACAAATTTGCAGCTTGTAAGACGACAAAGTATATATATTCTTACAACGAAAGCCCCATTGTTTGGACGTGGTTCCGTGTTCTCGAAGACATAAAACAATACGCTGCAGCTGCTGTTGGTCACTTGGCTTGTCCATGCGCTGGCATTTGAAATTCCCTCTCTCTCTCTTTGCCAGTGTTAGAGGTCACATGCAACACGGGGGTCACTGCAAGGGTCGCATACACTCTAGATGACGAAATTTCCAGACGACACCTCCTGCCGACAGTGACGGAGTAGCTACCGACTCAATACGATGTAATGGTAATACGAGACGAAATCGGGATAACGTAGACGGTCTCTCGTCTCGGCTGGAGCCCATTTGCGTAATCCGTTAAGCGTTCCAGTCCGATTTGGTCGGCTAGTCGTCAACAGATAGCATCGTCCAGCTAAGATGACAAGCTGCCGCAATTAAGCGGCTTTCCATTTTCCAACAACCGTTTGGTAGCAGGTCTGTCACCACTTCTGTCATCGCCTCTACAGTGCCTCTATCACAATCGCAACGTGTCGTTGAAGCGTCAACGCCAACGCTACATTCGTCCGATTCAAAGCCAATTTGTTCTAGCCTTACCAGACTAAGCACTGCTGGCCATACGTAGCAGTGCTCAGGTTCATAGACCTTGCATGTTGTCTTATTCTCGGCCGCAGTATCGTTCGGTTCAACTTGTGCCATTGCGACATACTTATCGTGCCATCTTCCAGTATATCAGTATTGCCACAGAAGGTTAAAGCTCGCGATGATGCCGCATCGAACCCATCCCAGGCGAATTGTTTCCGTGTTGTAGCCGTTTGCCCTTCGCGCATTTACATACCCGTGCCGTTTTATTTTGATGCATGCTTTGCTCTTTCATGGCATTCCGTGTTACTCCATGTGCTATTCCGTGCCATAGTCAGCGCGAGCGGTCGGATGAGTCGGACATCGGTCCATTCCGACTGCGCGGCACAGGAAGCCAGCCAATTCGACGGTATCGGCGCGGCGTGCCTCAATGAGAGCCCACCGGCCGTCCCGCCGGCTGGCTGGTGTAGGTGCCGGCGGCGCGGCGGCGGCGCGGCGGTGTGCCGCTCTGCCACCTAGTGGCGGCCGTCAGTCGCTCGCCGAGTGCCGTGTGAGGAGCAGCCGCGGGACGGGCCGCCGAATTGAGTCGAGGCGAGTGGAGTGGAGGGGAGTAGTTTTAGCACGCGAGTGCCGGGAGGAGAGTAGTGGGTAGTGCCGAATTGCAGCACTGTTACGACGGAGGCGATTCGCGCTCCTGAGCTGACGTTTCGAACAACGAGTGAGAACGCGGAACGCTCCGTCGTGGCGAGAAACCTGACCTGACCGGCGGAGTCGGAGACCACGACTGTTGCGGAGTTTGAGATCTCCGTTCCTCGCGAGCGGTGACCTGTGCCAGGTCGCGCCCGGGGCGGCGCGGGTGAGGTCAAATTGTCCGCTGGCCGGCCAGCGGGGCATGTGATCGCCGCTCCCGGACATCCCCGAACGATGTCGGCGCGTCGCCAGCGCTGGGCGCAGTGCGTCGTGTTTCTGCTGTGGCTGGCGCTCCAGGCGCACGTACTGAACGGTTGTCCGCCCGAGTGTTCGTGTCAGGGCTCTGTGATCGACTGCAGTCACAGGAAGTTGGTCCGAGTGCCGCGGAACCTGCCCTATGGAGCCACCCGACTGTGAGTACCGCTGTCGCCGGGTCGGGAGGGAGGGGGAGGTGGGAGGCCGGGATGAGTAGGAGTGGGGCGGTAAAATGAGGGTAAGAGATAACAGAAATGGTTGAGTTATGTGGGATAGGAGAGGTGGTGGGTGTCGTGATAAAAGAAAGTGTGTACTCAGCTAACTTAAATAACACATGCTTCCTTGACGAAATTTATTACACGGAAGTTGTCAGCTAAATGGCTACAACACCTGCCAAGAACGACAGTTTTAATATCAGAAACATTTAAACAGGCGCGCTTATTCCCACAATTACCATTGAAATGCATTGTCTTCGTGAGGCACTTAGATTGTATCCGAAGTAAATTGCAATCAAAATTCCCATGTTGTTCATTTATGACGCCTCGGCGCACCATGCTCCGAAGACTGCAGAGTCCTATCTCCCTTCCATGGCCACCTACAGCGCCGGGTTGTGGACAAACTGAGCTGTACCGAGTACCTACATCGGACTCTCCGCGTCGGCGGCGACCGACACAGACGTGAAGTGGCCGTGTGGGCAAACAACGCTCCCTCCGTGTGCACAAGGTGCAGGGCCGTCGTGCACGGGGCGCCGACACCTCCGGCCAGCCGGCGCCGATCACACAGGCCTGCACTGTGACGGCCGACTGTTCCGCTGGGTCCGGCCGCCCGCCGCGCAGGGACGGCCCAGGTGTCTCTTCAGATTTATCATCGGTGCCGCGGGACGCAGGCGTCTCCTCTGCACACTCTCTCACTGAGCCAGGATGCATGCAATATTGCAATTTGCACTTCATATGCAGCAGGCGAAGCGCGATAGAGCCGCTAAAAACAACCGGCCAACTCGACCGCTCACGACAGATTTAGGAGCGCGCTTAATGTTGACAGGACGTGATGTGAATTTCACAACATTGAAAACGACGTAATTTGAGCCGCAACAAAGCATTTAAACTCGTTACGATAATTACGTTATGATTAGACAAACATGGTCGTGTGGGGCATTCAATTAGACACATGAAAGCGGGCCTCTGCGGTGCAGGACGGAAGCCACCGGTCGCACCCATCAACACCCCGAGCGGGAGAGCCCTCAGCGCTGCTTCATACCCGCTCCGCCCAACCCAATAACGCCACTAAGGGAGACTTCTAAAACAGTGGCAAACTTTAGCCCAGAAGGGGTTCGGTCCGGAGCCACATCAGAGAGGTGACTGGAACAATAGGCTAAGTGATTGTAAATACTTAAAGAGTGTCTGAAATTTAGTGCCTTTTTTACTTCATTATGCCTAACGATTAGGTATCAATCGTGTACAAATTAGCACAAACATAAAAGCTAAAACTGCTAAAACGCATTCATTCGGTTGGCTCTCATCCGCTTTCCCTCTCACATCTGTATCCTGTTTCTAAATGACAAATATTCGTCACTCTAGTGTAAACCTAAGATTAAGTTCGTCACCGCACTGGACGGAACTAACAAGAACATCATTACCGTTAGGTACCAACGCGGACATCTCCGAGATAATTCAGACGAAAAACCAAATCTCCGGGTGTGTCCTCGCTCGTTAGGCGCTCCGGTCCGCGAACCGGGCCGCCTGGCGCGTTCCGTTCCCGATTCTCACTTCCCGTGCGTGTGTGAGCGACGTTGCCGTAAATATTATGGACAAGATATCGTCGCCTGCGATATGCACGGGTGCAGTGGCATCGTGCGGCGCTGTGCAGGGACACGGGCGGGCCGGTGCGGGCCCGCGCACACGCACACGCACACTGAATGGCGGGGGACGGATGGAAGTGGTCAGGTGTGCCACGAGAGGCAGACTTCGCGCCAGCGGCCAGGCCTTAGTTGGTTGTGCAATGTGCATGGTTGTAATGAAAGGCTCCATTTGTTTATCACTGCTGCAGTTCTAGGTGTATTCTTCTGTTATAGACAAAAGTTCAAAATTTCCCTGTTTTATTGCAGGATATTTCGGTATGAAAATACCTTGATCACTGTGCTAAACAGAAACGAGGACGGAAATACTGCATGATATGCAATTGTGCATCAAAGTATACATACAAAAATATCATGACAAATATCCATGAGCAACAGTCTTCTGCTTATGCAGTCATCACATCTACTTGTGCAGTGCCATCACCCGCAGCAGTTTGGCTATAGCGAACTCACCTCGCTGTCCGCACAGCGGGGTGCCTCGGAACTGACAAATCTCTGCGGACGGAGAATTTATCGCGTTCCGCACCTGTGCACAGCTGTGGACCCGCGGCATGGCGCCGCTGATGGGGTGACGAAAGGTTCACGGCGCTCCTCCGGGCATACGCAGTGTGTTAGGGAATCTTGTGGCACTGTGGATAGAGAAGAGCAACTAATTTGGCATGTCCATGTGATGCGCGTGAGCTCTTTCGTGTGCTGAAGCACAACCTTCTTTATAGTTTGGCTTGATTTGGTACTGTTGATAGCTCCACACTTATAGTGTTGTGTGATTGCTGGGCTATTTTGTGTCGTGGGACGTTGTACATATGGTGCTGTTCTGTGTTGTGTGCTGCATGCTGTGCGGTTATGTGTCGTGCAGCCTGATGCAGCTCCCAGAGACCCGGCGACCGGCCGTACCATCCGATGCCATCTCACCGCGCCGCCAATAGGCCGTAAAGTGTGACGTGGCCCGGCGTCGGGGCTGGCCGGGCCGATGGCACCACCGACCTGTCTCCTGGGAGACACCAGCTCGGATTCATTACCGGGCAACGAGCCCGCAGTGCAGTCAGCCGAGAGACACTCCCCGGGGACGGCTCCGCGCCAGACACGGGCCGCCGCCGTCATTCTAATAAGATCGCTGGGGAAATATGAGTGTGAACTAGTCGATAGTACGCGGGATGGAGCGTTGTTGGAGGCGCTCAGGCGTGTTGATGAGCTGTCGTATTCGGTTTGGGTTGGGGTGTTACTGTTCTTTTCAGGTTGGAAGCCTTTGAGGGTTCACAGAGATGGCGATGCTACCAAAATCTTCAGTCTGGGAATCCGATAGTAATCACTTTGAGAGAGAGCACTTGGTTGCGACAGACACAGACACCTGACGTCTGCCTTCTGCTTGATCTGGCCGCCAGGCGTTGTTGTTTGTTGCAAGGCCGTGATGGGCCGAGCTGAGCCAAATTAACTGCCTGTGATCTCGGGTGCAGGCAGCTACCAAAATCCCGTCACGCTAAAATGGGATTCAGTGAGTCATGCGGCCAAGAACGCCGCAGCAAAGCCTTCGTGAAAATCGGCCCGATCGGAGCGGCTGCCTTTTGCACAGAAGCCCTGTATTGATGGCCATCTTGCATGCAGGCAGCAAAATATGGTCTTGTCAATGCTCGTTCGAGCCGATGTTTATTGTTTGATTAATAACCGAGTGATTTCTGGTGCCTGTTTTGGGGCTCTCGCGGTTGACTATTTTGCATGAGTTGATTGCTCATGACAGGACAACTCAATTTCGTGTCGGGGCGTTAGAAAAGAACGGGCATTGTTTCCAAACAGTAATGCAATTGAGTCTGATGAAATCTTCACAGCCTGTAACGAAGTTTCGCAACACATTCCTACATAAACGACTTCCGACTGCTGACCAGCGGTGACCAAACATGGTGCATTATAAAGTGTGTCTCATTGCGAGATGAAATTGCTTGTTATGGCAGTTTCATCCTTGAGACATTCCCTCTCGTACAAGCATCGACTGCAAAGGCAGCCACTGAGGCTCGTTTCATCTGTGGTTGAATGGCCTCACGTCTGGAAAGGTTCAGTTGTTTGCCTGGAACAGGTGTGGGGTATTCCATCTCTAGGAATCAAACCATGACCAGCCAACAAACTCCGAGTATTAAGCACACACTGCAGACGACACGGGTATACCTAGGAGGCCAACTCAACAATTCAGAGTTGGCCTCCAGAGTTGAGAATGCGCCAGAGACACGAACAAAACGCTAAACGTTGGGGCCGAACATTGAAAACTGAACATAAAACCTGAACCCACAGTGAGCGAGCTGGTGCAGTTTTTGCGTGAAAACAAAAATGGTGATTATTGACGTGTAGCGTTGGAGCTGAAGGGCTTTATCGGTGGACCGGGTGACAGCCGTCAGCGCACTGACAGTCGGCGACTGTGGAGCAGCGACAGTCGACCGTAGGCGACAGTCTGGGCAACTATAGTTAGAGCAACAGTCCACAGTAGGCGACAGTGTGGTGGGCTGAGCGACAGTCGGGTGACTGTAGAAAGTAAGATAGGTCGATTGTAGAGGGACAGTCGAGATGACTGTAGAGCAACAATCGAGCGATTGCCGTCTGGAGCTGTGATGAATGATATGTTCAACTGAGCTCATCTCATTCAGCTCTAAAGCATTTTATATTAGTAAACCATGCAAGGCGAACTCAGTTCAGAAACTCATCGCAGCCAAACTCTGCCAAAAAAAAAAAAAATGCACTGCACCAAAGCCAATATCCCCGCTCAGTGGGGCCAGTTCAGTTCGCTCAGCTTGGCTGCGTCCGTCGCTCGTATCTTCGGTCTGTCATAGCGCGGCGACGTGTGGACCGCCGCCGCTCCAACTCCAATTATCGAATCGGCCCCGCTGCCAGCGCTAATTATAGAAACGAGATTGATCAGGTTCACTGGCCGCGCCAGCTTTTTGGCCTTTTCATGTCGGGTGGCCAGAAATAGGTTCTCGGGCCGTTCGACATTTGAAAGCAAACAAAGGATTGTTCACAAGCTTTTATAGGTTCAGATGCCTGAAACGCTTTCTTATTTTATCCCGTGTTCGAGAAACGGAAATTCTCAGTTACAACCCAATATCATTCGTCATTGAGAGACTGTTCATCATTTATGGTCGCGGTCTTCTCGTTTTCAGCTGGCGCCGACCCACCATTTCCAAAGACAGCCCTTCTAAGAGCCTTCAGGCTGTAGCGGGCCGTTTTCGCTCTGAATGTATGTCGATTGTCGCTGTCGCACTTCGCGAAACTACAGTCTGCTTCCTCGTAAACACTATTTGTGACAAATCTAATCGCTGT